ATTTTGCTTTTTTGCATTTCTTTTTCTTGGGGATGGTCTTGATCCCTGTCTCCTGTAGAATGTCATGAACCTCCGTCCATAGTTCATCAGGCACTCTGTCTATCAGATCTAGTCCCTTAAATCTCTTTCTCACTTCCACTGCATATTCATAAGGGATTTGCTTTAGGTCATACCTGAATGGTCTAGTTGTTTTCCCTACTTTCTTCAATTTAAGTCTGAATTTGGCAATAAGGAGTTCATGATCTGAGCCACAGTCGGCTTCTGGTCTAGTTTTTGCTGACTATATAGAGCTTCTCCATCTTGGCTGCAAAGAATATAATCAATCTGATTTTGGTGTCGGCCATCTCGTGATGTCCATGTGTAGAGTCTCCTCCTCTGTTGTTGGAAGAGGGTGCTTGCTATGACCAGTGCGTTCTAATTAGCCTTTGCCCTGCTTCATTCTGTACTCCAAGGCCAAATTTTTGCCTGTTACTTTAGGTGTTTCTTGACTTCCTACTTTTGCATTCCAGTCCCCTATAATGAAAAGGACATCTTTTTGGGGTGTTAGTTCTAAAAGGTCTTATAGGTCTTCATAGAACCGTTCAGCTTCTTCAGCATTACTGGTCAGGGCATAGACTTGGATTACTGTGAGATTGAATGGTTTGCCTTGGAAACAAAGAGATCATTCTGTTATTTCTGAGATTGCATCCAAGTACTGCATTTGGCCTCTTTTGTTGACTGTGATGGCTACTCCATTTCTTCTAAGGGATTCCTGCCCACAGTAGTAGATATAATCGTTATCTGAGTTAAATTCACCCATTCCAGTCCATTTTAGTTCGCTGATTCCTAGAATGTCAGTGTTTACTATTGCCATCTCCTGTTTGACCACTTCCAATTTGCCTTGATTCATGAACCTAACATTCCAGGTTCCTATGCAGTATTGGCCTTTACCACATCATACCTTGCTTCTGTCACCAGACCCATCCACAGCTGAGTGTTGTTTTTGCTTTGGCTCCGTCTCTTCATTCTTTCTGGAGTTATTTCTCCACTGATCTCCAGTAGCATATTGGCACCTACCCACCTGGGGAGTTAATCTTTCAGTGTCCTGTCTTTTTGCCTTTTCATACTGTTCATGGAGTTCTCAAGGCAAGAATCCTGAAGTGGTTTGCCATTCCCTTCTCCAGTGGATCACATTCTGTCAGACCTCTCCACCATGACCTGTCTGTCTTGGGTGGCCCTACACGGCATGGCTTAGTTTCATTGAGTTAGACAAGGCTGTGGTCCTGTGATCAGATTGGCTAGGTTTCTGTGATTGTGGTTTCAGTCTGTCTGCCCTCTGATGCCCTCTCTCAGCACCTACTGTCATACTGGGGTTTCTTTTACCTTGGACGTGAGCTATCTCTTCACAGCTGCCCTTTACCTTGGACATGGGGTATCTCCTCATGGCCTTCACTCCTGACCTTGGACGTGGGGTATCTCCTCTCCGCCGCCACTCCTGACCTTAGACGTGGGGTATCTTCTCTCAGCCACGTGCCGCTCCAGCACCACGCAGCCGCCACCCAGCACTTAGGACTCCACATTTCCATACCAGGTGGCCTGGGTTCAATCCCTAGTCAGGGAACTAGATCCCCACATGCCACAACTAAGAGTTCACATGCTGCAACTAAAGATCCGTTGTGCCAGAGCTAAAACCTGAATGTGTTAGTCACTCAGTCGTGTCCAACTCTTTGCAACCCCAGAGACTACAGCCAGCCAGACTCCTCTATGGGAGGAGTCTATGGGATTTTCCAGGCAAGAATATTGGAGTGGGTTGCCATTACCTTCTCCAGGGAATCTTCTCCACCCAGGAATTGAACCCAGGTCTCCTGCATTGTAGGTAGATTCTTTACCATGTGAGCTACCAGGGAAGCCCAGCCTAATCAATTAATTATTAAAAACAAAAGAAATTGGGAATTCCCTGGCAGTCCAGTGGTTAGAACTCCACACTTTCACTGCCGAGGGTCTGGGTTCAATCTCTGGTCAGAGAACTCTCAAGCTGCATGGAAAAAGTAATAATAAATAAAAGAGTATGTCCACCAATTCCACAGGATAATACAGAGATTCACTTGGGAGGCAAAAGTATGCAACTGTTTTTGCCAAATGAGGTCAAGAAAGCATTTTGCTCTTTCATTCTCCTCTCTCTGCTTTCAAGAACCATCTTTTTAAGTTTGTTCTTGAGCCTGACTCTGGGGCCAAAGTTCTACCCTTCACTAACGATAGATCTTAAATTATTTAATCTCTCACTTTTCCAAAAGAAAGAAAATTTTCCTTTCCACCAACCTTGCCATGTAATTGGCTTTTGAGGGGTCAGCAGCTGGACCCCACTTTCGGTTACACTCCCTCTCAGGGTTGTGCTGAGGAAAATGAGCTCAAATGGGATAGCTTGGTAACAGAGAGAGAAGTGACAGAGGCAGGAATTAACCTCTGGTCTGCCAGCTGACCAGGTGGCACTAGTGGTAAAGAATCCACCTGCCAAAAACAGGAGACTTAAGAGACTAGGGTTCAATCCCTGTGCTGAGAAGATCCCCTGGAGGAGGGCATGACATCCCATGGACACAGGAGCCTGGCGGGCTACAGTCCATAGGGTTGCAAAGAGTCAGACATGGCTGAAGTGAGTTAGCACACACACTGCTGGCTGAAGCCAAAGTGGACACCTTGAAGAGGACGAACTACAGGGCTTCTTTATCATGAGTTCTCACCCCTTCACCCCATGCTGATGGTACAGAGTTCTGAAAAACTGCCCAGCTCATTGTAGAAAGTGACTCGGGTCCCTGACCATCTAAAATGTTCTAACTTCCCCTTCACAGGAGAGCCCTGCTGACATGGCTTCTTGAAAGTATTTTAGTAAGGGTCTCAAGATTTTCTCAGTGAGCCCAGCTTCTAACAACTTCTAAAAACTTAATAAGAAAAGGCTCTTAGGACAAAACTAGAAGTTCTGATCTCTCCTGAGGAAAGTTAACCCTCTGACCTCTCACCATGGAGGATGCTGCTGGAGGCCATGGCTGTCACTGAGATGAGTTCTTCAGGCCTACAATTGGGGTTGTTTTCCAACATCCTCTTTACTTCCTGTGTAAAATGGCTCTCTGGTCTAGTCTGAAGACATGTCTGACTTTGAGACTCCATGTACTTTAGCCCAATCTGTCATGGGATTTCCAGGCAAGAATACTGGAGTGGGTCGTCATTTCCTTCCCCAGGGGATGAAAAGCAGCCCTGTACTTTAGTGTTTCTCTTAAGATGGGAAGATTGGCCCAGTGAACACAGTGTTGAATCCAGGGTGGAAGCCTGAGTCTTAGAATTTGAGGCACTTTCTCTGGGAATTCTTGAGGCATTTGTGTGGATAAGCAACCCAAGGGCAGGAGAAACCATGGAACAATTAAAGTCTGTTTGGATAAACTTTCCTGAAGCCTGAGGGGAGCAAGGTGCCCTTCCCTCATCTGTACCTCAGGAAAGGAGACTGTGCAGAGAAATGAGTTGTTGGGAAGGAATGAGCAAATAAAAAGATGACCTTTGTGTTCTTTTCAAGATTTAGTGATTTCTCTAGAAACATGTTATACACTAACTTCAGTCACTTTGTCATGTCTGACTCTTTGCGACCCCATGGGCTGCAGCACGCCAGGCTTCCCTGTCCATCATCAACTCCTGGAGCTTGTTCAAACTCATGTCCATCAAGTCAGTGATGCCATAAAACCATCTCATCCTCTTGACAGAGGATGTCCTTTTCCTCCTGCCTTCAATGTTTTGCAGCATCAGGGTCTTTTCCAGTGAGTCGGCTCTTCGCATCAGGTGGCCAAAGTATTGGAGCTTCAGCATCAGTCCTTCCAATGAATATTCAGGACTGATTTCCTTTAGGATTGACTAGTTTGGTCTCTTTGCTGTCCAAGGGACTCTCAAGACTAACTTGTGTCCCCCCAAATTCCTGAAAGTGTGTTAGTTGCTTAGTCATGTCTGACTCTTTGCAAACTCATGACTGTAGCTGGCCAGGCTCCTCTGTTCATGGAATTTCCCGGGCAAGAATACTGGAGTGGGTAGCCATTCCCTTCTACAAAGGATCTTCCCAACCCAGGAATCGAACCCAAGTCTTCTGTATTGCAGGCATATTCTTTACCTTTTGAGCCACCAGGGAAGTCCCAAATTCCTAAAGTGAAGCTCTAATCACTAATACTTGGAGGTAGAACCCATTAGGAGATAATTAAGGTTACCTCAGATCATAAGGGTCCAGGGCCCTGATACCATATTAGTATCCTTCTAAGAGACACATGAGGTCCACTATGTGCTCTAACCAAAAAGAAAGTCTCACCTGAACCCGCCCTTGCGGTCGCCATGATCTCAGACTTGCAACCTCCGAAACTGTGAGTAAATAAATATCTATTGTTGAAGTCACTCAATCTACATATTTTTTCATGACAACCAGAGTTGACTAAATACAAAACAACACTTGGGAGTAATATGCCCACCATTTAGTCAGTATCTCCCAATGACCCAAGCCTTGTTTATGTTAGTCTCACTAAATTTGCATCTGTATCAATTTAATCCTCACTCTCCAAGTAAGTGGGTAATAATTTTTGATGTTTTAACAACTGAAATTAGAACAATGAATTCTTTGTATTATAGAATCAAAAAGCAGTAAAGTCCAGAGCTGGGTGGTCTTATACGGAGCACTTACCATCTGAGTGTTAATTTCTCCAATTTCTCCTACTTCACAGATTGCTTACGAAGATCTTAGCAGCTGCCCACAGTCCCTAATGGAGGGTGTAGGCCCTGACTAAGCAGGTCAGAGCCAAGTCATTTTCCTGGAAGCAGGAATTAGCAGAGACCAAAAAGGAGAGTGTCAAAGAGGTGAGTATCCATGTTCTTAAACCACACAAGATTTCAGTGCTAAGACAGGGAATAGGAGCTGGACTCAAACAGGAAACACAGGTGAATGCCTTGTTTCAGGGGCAAATGTGCTGGACAGGTAGACAGATAAGAGAGCAGAACTGCAGTGGCCATAGCTTGCCTTATAGGGTCAGATAAGGTACAAATGGAGTGAGTTGGGTGACTCACCTGTCGTGGAAATGACTGAGAGCATTACCAAAGGCATGTGTTTGTTTACTAAAACCCCCAACTCCCATACCTCCACCCCCATGATTCGAAGTGCAGGTTGAGAATCACAGATATTAATAATGAAGTAGCGGTTTGATGAAGGTCAGGGCTCAGATGTGCATAGATCTCAACTGTGAGATTTCAGAGCTTTAGATGTGCATTGGGTTGAATACGATAGTTTTTGTTTGTTTTGATTGGGTTTTTTATTTATTTTTGACTGTGCTGGGTTTTTCTTCTCACGTGTGGACTTTATCTAGTTGCAGTGCATGGACTGATCGCAGTGGCTTCTCTTGTTGTGGATCATGGACTCCAGAGTGTGGGCTCAGTAGTGGTACAAGGGTTTAGTTTCCCAAGGCATATGGAATCATCCCGGACCAGGGGTTGAACCCACATCCCCTGCATTGGCAGGCAGATTCTTAACCACTGGACCACCAGGGAAGTCCTGGATGCAATAATTATTAACTGCAAATTTGTTTTCATTATTCCTTCCCCTCTTGTAATGTATAATTGAATGTAATGGCCAAGTTTGGAGATCACTGACCCTACTTCCCATTTGGGAGCCTTCAGTGTTCATCCCAGGATACCCACTTCTCTCCCCACTGCCCCTCTGCTGAGCTCAGAGGTCTCAGATCTCTGACCCTTGGGTAAACAGAATCTGCCAGGATGTTCCATAAGGGCCCACTCACTTTAACAAGTGATTTTAATGAGAAACATCCAGGTGGTGCCAGCAGGATACTTAGGACCAGAGACTCAAGTTTAAAGTCTTAGAATTTCTCTCCCAGTGAAGCAACCAAATTCCGTGTTATAGAAAAGCATATCAATATATATCTGTGCAGATTCTCATTAGACCAGAGAATCTACTGTAAGTGAAAAGGGGCAAGGATTCAGAGACCTGCCCAATAAAGACATCTAATCTGAAACAATGAGCCAGAGATTGCTCTGGACTCTGTTGCTTTTGCACCCCAGAGTTATTTGGTTTGAATGACTGCCAAATCCTCAAGTTCAAAAGGCAGTCACAAGTGGGGAAAGAGGTCAGCATTCTTGAGGTTGGATTCCCAGAATTCTCCCACTTATTGTAAGCCTCTCCTTCTAAGGTCAGCCTGCTCTGCTAGTGGTTTGGTTTTAGAGACAGCCCCTCCCTCTACTATGAAGACTGTGAGAGAGTCTAATGGTAAAATCAGCAACCATATTGTCCATGCAAGGACCTGATCTTGGGTATGTCATTTTCTTCCAGAAGCCACCACCGTGGTCATGTCTCAGGTTCATAAGGAAGGGCAGCTCTCTCACACTGAATGCATCTGTTCTCATTAGGCCTGTCAGAAAAAAACACAAGAGTGAGCATTTCATTCTTTTTAAGTGTTTGATTGCAATTGAATGTAAACACACATTCAGTTAATAGGAATTTATGTTAGCCATTAAGCTTTTTTTGTCTTTGAAGCCTTTCATTCTTTTGCCCTGCATGTTAAACATGCCCTGATGGGTTTTGCCTCCAAATGACCACAAGGAACCAGCCATTTCTTCTTTTTTAATTTAATTTAATTTTATTATTTATTTAACTGCATGAGATCTCAGTTGTGGCATGTGGGATCTTTTCTTTCTAGTTTCAGCATGTGAACTCTTAGCTAAGGCATGTGGGATCTAGTTCCCTGACCAGGGATTGAACCCAGACCCCCTGCAATGGGAACACAGAGTCTTAGCCACTGGACCACTAGGGGAATCCCATGAACCAGCCACTTCTGTTCTGCATTGCCATCACGCTGATCGAGTCACCTTCATGTCTCCTCTGTTACTGTGAGAGCCTCCTTACTACCCTCTCTGCTCCAGTTCTGCACTCCCCTCCCCAACAAAATCTGTTGGCCATGATCTAACCCAAATCTGATTGTGTCAACACCCTCCCCTTGCTAAAAACCTTTTGCTCTTAGGCTAAAACCCAGAACCCTTCCCTGGTCTCTACCTGACTCTGCCACCTCATCTTGACCCTTTTTTCATCCAGCCCTCTCTGCCTGCAGCCACATTAACCTCACGGCTTCCCCCACCTTTCTTCTCCACTCACCCAATGATCACAGTTCGAATGGAATTTCATAGGGAAGTTTCCCATGAGACCCCCTATTTAGGGCCAGTCTCTTTAAGTTTTCACTAACCATGTTTCTTTTCTTAAGAGTAATTACCTCCATTTTTAAAAGGAGTAATTACCTCCATTTTTAATTACACATTCATAAGTGTGATTATTTGATAAAGATTCATCTCCCTACTGGTCTCTAGGCTTTGTGAGACCAGGAACACAACTGCTCACTATCATATCCCTGGGCCCTTACCCCAGTGCCTGGCAGGTAAACAGATTCCCATGGGCCATTCTCTGGGTGAATTTCAGAGGTAGACGCTAAGTGGAAAACAGACAACTATGAGTAAGAGTTGTTGTTTTAAAAGGTCAGTACATTTGAAGGTAAGGTTGATTATTCTCAAAACTTCGAGACAAGGTTACTCATAAAAATGGACACATGATGGATGAGGGACTTCCAGTGGCTAAGACTCCACACTGCCAATGCAGGGGCCCCAGGTTCAATCCCTGGTCAAGGACCTAGATCCCAGATGCCACAACTAAGAGTTCATATGCTACAACGAAGCTCGAAGATCCTGTGTTGTTGCTGCAACTAAGACCTGGTGTAGCCGAATAAATAAATAAATAATTTTTTTAAAAAAACCTGAAACACATAATAGATGAGATTATCTGTGCACAGAATCCAGGAGAGAGAAAAGTCCTAACAGCTCGTCAAAACCACAGAGGAAAGGCAGAAAAGCCTGGAGTATATGATCAAAAGTCAGGTGGTGCTAGTGGTAAAGAACTCGCCTGACAGTGCAGGAGATGTAACAGACGTGGGTTCAGTCTCCAGGTTGGTAAGATTCTCTAGAGGAGGGCATGGCAACCTACTCCAGTAGTCTTGCCTGGAGAATCCCATGGACAGAGGAACCTGTTGAGCTACAGTCCATGGAGTCAAAAAGGGTAGGACACAAATGAAGCAACTTAGCATGCATGCATACAGAGAGAGGAAGAGAGAGAGCAGGGAGCGCTGAAGTCCTGGGCTGACCCGGGTTAAACACAGTCTCTGGAGACTGGTTTGTAGCATGGTCTGTCAGACCACATTAATAGGCACAATTAATGGGGACTGAGGATGAGACAGGTCAGGTCCCATCAAACAACCAGAAGAAATGATTTGTTAATGCGCCATGCTGGGGAGTTGGGGTCCACTCAGATCTGTAAGTAGAGAGTAGTAACTGACCAATGGCATGTGGTCTGTGTGATGAAAGTGCACGGCATCAACAAGGAGAAAGGCCCGAGTACCAGAGGTTCCCACTCCCTGTTTGTTGGATAGAGGATTGTTGCTCGACTGGCTCATGTTTGACTGATAACTCTGACCATGGAGATCATCCACACCATGAGGCTCTAGACTCAGGTTCCCCAAGCAGTCCCTGATCATAGACTAGACTTATATGGAGCCTTCCTGCTACAGTGGAGAGAGAAACAGACCCGCTGTGGTTAGCTGAATAACGACCAAAGGATTGGTGAATTGGTTGAATATCATTGGTTGACCCCCAAAGATATTCACATCTTAATCCCTGGAACCTGTCTCTGTGTTACCTTATGTGGTAAAACGAACTTTGCAGATGTGATTAGTAAGGATTTTGAGGTGGGGAGATTGTATTGCATTATCTAGATAAACCAAATATAATCCAAAGGGGGAGGCAGGAGCACAGGGTCAGAGAGAGATGGGGAGATGCCAATGCTGATGGCTTTGAAGATAGATGAAGGGGCCAAAGAATGAAGGAAGGGCGTCTCTAGAAGCTGGAGAACTCAAAGAAATATTCTCTTCTAGAGCTTCCAGAAGAAACGCAGGCATGCCCACACCTTGATTTTAGACCAGTGAAACAAATTTCAGACTTCTATTTCCAGAACTGCAGGATAATACATCTGTAGGAGGTTTTGTTGTTGTTGTTATTATCTTATTGAAGCATAGTTGATTTACAATGCTGTTAGTTTCAGGTATACAACAAAGTGAATTAGCTCTACATATATGTCTTTTTTTCATATTCTTTTCTCTTATAGGTTATTACAAAATATTGATTATAGTTCCCTATGCTATACAGTAGGTCCCTGTTGGTTACTTATTTTTTTAATATTTATTTATGTATTTATTTGTCTGTCTTGGGTCTTAGTTGTGGCACTCGGGTCTTCATTGCATCACTAAGTTGTGGGCTCTTTTGTTGTGACAGACAGACTCTCTAGTTATGGCATGTGGGCTTAGTTACTCTGAGGCATGTGGGATCTTAGTTCCCCAACCAGGGGATCAAACTCACATCCCCAGCATTGCATGGTGGTTTCTTAACCACTGAACCACCAAGCAAGTACTCTTGGTTATCTATTTGATATGTAATAGCACGGTGTGTATTTGTTCATCTCAACCTTCTAATTTATCCCTCCTCCCAGCCTCTTTTCTTCTTTGGTTACCGTAAGTTTGTTTTCTGTGTCTGTGGCTCTGTCTTGTATGTAAGTTCATTTGTATCTTATTCTCTTTTAGATTCCACATATAAGCTGTGTCATATTATAGTCTTCTTTCTTTTTCTGGCTTACTTCACTTAGTCTGATCATCTCTAGGTCCCAGTGTACGTTGCTTGAAGCCACTAAGATTGTGGCAATTTGTTACAGCAGCAGTAGGAAACTAATACACGGTAATATGAGGATCTGGCCAACAGATTGT